AAGAACAGCTGATATTCCGTGCTTTAAACAAGTATTAGGACTATTACTACAGAACTGTACTCCAAGCTAAGTTAATTGAAGATGAAACGGTGGATATGATGTATAAGTAACTTATTTATATTAATTTTGTGGGCATGTATGTTTTACCATATTGGAATACTAACACTATTTGTTTAAAAGGCTATATGAATTGGGAGAAGTTCAATTCAAATAAATGAAAGGAAATTTAAAGTTCTCTGTACTCAGTACTCCACCAAATCTGTAAGCCTCTGGAATCCCACATGATCTCCGTTCAGATGTTTTGCCAGGCCTTCATGTTTCCTGATCAGTCTGACAGGTTTTAAACTAGAAAGTGAAGCGTATTCTGTACAGAATTTAAGGGACTGACTCCGTGACACAGTCTTTCTTCTTTGAGATCAGTGTATGTGTTTAAACACAGTAGGAATCCACTGCTGCACTGCTGTTACAGTAGCATCACATTCACAAAATAACTGAAGCTGACAACAGAAAAACACTCATAGTGTTCACCACACAATACATATGCAGTTCAAATCTTAATGGAATTGATAATAAGCTTGTTTGTTGGTCAATCAATCTCTTAACCCTGGAGTGGGTCATTGGAGTACCACCGATGCTTTTTTGATAATTCTTTCCCTGTGGAGGTCCTTTGCAGCTGCCTGAGAGTCACTAAAGTCCAGGTCTGTCCACTCTTTGATGATATCTTACCACCTCTTCTTTTGTCTCCCTTGCTTTCTCCCTCCTGGCACTGTACCTTGCAATATGTTCTTTGCAAGGCCTGGTGATTGGATGGTGTGGCCATACCACCACACCTCGTTTTCTGTTTTCTGACAGTGAGGAGGTCCTCCTGGGTACCAGTGGCCTGTATGATATATATTTGGCAGACTTGCTCATTGGTGACATGCTCTGTAAATGAGATGCATAAGATCTTCCAGTAGGACCTCATTTCCATGGCCTAAATTCTTCCCTGTAGCTCCACTGTGAGGGTCCAGGTTTCTCAAGCATACAAGAAAATTGACCAAATAAGGAATCACATCAGCCACACTTCAGAACTGACAGAGATATTGTCATCATTCCAGAGGTTGTTATTATGCTAGTCCTGCTGTTGTTTGCGCTATCCTAGCTAGGACTTCAGGTTTTGAGCTTTCTTCTGAAGTAGTTACTCCGGAATACTTGAAGCTGTTAACTGTTTCAAAGTCTGTCTGCTGACTTTAATAGTCAGTAGTGATGCTGCTGATGTTGTTGGTCATCTGTTTGGTGTTTTCTGGAACATGATACATTCCAGAAAAATGTTGAAGACAGTAGGTGAGAGTAGACATCCTTGCTGGTCTCCAACTGTTGTTCTGAGCCAGTCTCCTACAGAGCCATTATTGAGTACTGCACTGGTGGTACTGTGAAGGCCACCGTGTTAATCTGAAATGTCGTACATTTTCATAAGGGGCCAATACAGGAGCTTAATGACTTGGAAAAGGTTTGGACTGATTTTGCATTGAATCCAATGTTAAATGTGCTGTTGTTATGGCCTCTAAGCCACAAGGGCAAATCATGATACTAACAGAAAAACATGTCAGTCATGATAACAGCAAAAAATTGTCTAATGAAAGACGTCTTTAATAACTGTGCTTCCAAAAAATTTGTACACACCCCACTTACACACACATGCAAAATTGTGTTTATTTTATTTGAATTATTAATCATTTCACTTCATCTATTTACTTTATTTCAACAATTTGTTGATTATGTTTTCCCTGTACACAGTTAGGGAAATCCTTGTTTTATTGTGTCTATCATAGCATAAACTTTTTCATGAATTACTTGGTCTCAAATGTAGTTTATCTATACACTGAACTGCTGATTCTATCTCATTCTTGAGATGCTGAATTGGATTGAGATCTGGTAACTGTGAAGGTCACCGTGCATACTGTCATACGGGACCAATACTAGACATGAAAAACATTGCAGGACCACCAGCCCACTGTTTTGTCCAGTCGTTTTTGACCTTTAGCCTACTGAAACACATTTTCATCTGCACTATCACACTCATGATAGCACCCATTTACGTCTTCCAACAGTTGGCTGTTTTTGTTGGCTACACATGGGTCATGTTCAAGCATGAAAAAATGAGAAGTGATGCAATACCTGGTATAATTGAGCTAGTCCATTTGGCACCTACCATAATTTCTGGTTTAGAAGCATTTGTGTCTTTTTATGACACAGACTCTATGACTCTGAAGCCTTAAAAACCTCTTTTAACTTCTCTCCTTGGTTTCTATACTTAGTGAAAACAATTCAACAGCTGTTATCACTTACAGGCTATAGCTTTCATCTGGATGTTTTGTCTACTGTACTGTAAAATCTGTCTTGAATTGACTTTCTTCATGAATTAGCAGGACACCCTACTGAGCAAAGTTCAAATTTTGTGTAATTAGTGTGGACTTGACATTTGTCAGATGCACTATTGCAAATTATGTGAGAAAATTTTGGGGGTAGGATGTTTGTCAAAAAAGGAACACAGCTGAGTTGCAAAGGAGCTGCTGGATGTTTGTTATCATGTAGCTGTCAATTACAGTTTGAATTAAAACCCCCAAATAGATTGTAGTTTCATTTAGTTATAGTCAGTAATGACAAAAAGAAAGAAGCACTAACCTGCACTAGAATCATTTTCAACACTTCTGTACTATACTGTACTTTACTGATTGTTGACTTATGCCATAATGGTAATTGATAGTCTTTCCTTTTTCTTATTGATTATCATATTTATCATTATTGGAGATTTTGCTAAAATGTTTATAGTGACATGCAGATTAAAGAAAAATGCTGCAATATTGGCAACTGGTTTTGTGGTAATTGGTATTATTATTCCTGTTGATGTTTTAGTTTTGTGCTATAATATTGATATATAAAGCATGAGATCTGAATAAGTGTAATTGTAGGCATTCTTTGTTTACACAGTCTTATGTTTGAATTGCTATATATGTTTGAATTGCTGTAAGTTTTAGCTACCTAATGCAGGTCCCCCCACTTGACAGACAAAATTTGCACCCCTGATCAGATCAATTATTTGTTTGTTTCAGTGATAGAAACATGGTGGCTATGCTGTCACAGGCTTTTTGGAGATAAATCCTAAGAACTACAGCTCAGTTCAGCAACTGCCAACCAAAAAACAAAATCACCTCTAATTAATAAAAAAAATGCAATCTAATTTGACTGTTTACTCACTTTTACAGGGGTGGGGAACTCTGGTCTCGCAGGGCCAGATTCACACACAGTTTGCACAGTTTGGTCATTTTCCTGCTCAAACAAACCTGATTTAACTCAGCAGTTAATTGTCAGATTGAGAGCAGGTCAGAACTCCTGCCCTCAGATACCCACTCCTGCGCTATTGCTGTCACTAACCATGAGTTATGGGTGTAAAACTGCATAAGTAACAATATAAAAGGGACATTAATGATCTTAGTGCCTCAGTGTGATTTCCCCACCTGCATTGTCGGTAGTCCTGCCACCCTGTGGCGAACCATGACTATTAGAACTAGGCCTTCCATTTGGGTTATAAAGGTCAAAACATGAGGAAAAAACACAACTGCAAAAATGCTAACTTCTGCTAGTACCCATCTGGGATTCTAGTAGTCTGTTAGCACACTATGAAGAAAAACAATTACAGATTGTTCAATTTTCCACTCGGCCTTTTAAGAATTTAAACCTTTTGTTTCCATTCGAAACATAACAATGAGTGGTACTGTAATCCTCCCACTGAGTTTTAGTATAAGCATGAATCTGTTGAATAAAAATTGACTAAAAATTACAGACCGGAGCCCTGAGTGTTCCCCTCTGCCGCCACTATATATTCCTGTCAATCAGCAGTACTATGCATAAGTTTTGACCATCTAAAGAAATTATATTTAAAAAGCTGTTTGTCTGGCCAGTAAGCGTTAATTTGCTCAGAAAACCACTAATATTACTAAAATTACTAAAAATCTTAATAATTTTAATCCAATTAGCAGTGATTATATGTTTGTCAGTGTGTTCGTTTAACCATGTCCAAACCTCTCCTCAAGGAAGCCCAGTCTTAATTGTTATAACCATCCCTTTGGCTAATCAGTGCTTTTTTATGCTAATTCAGGTGTGCTGGTGATGGAATTTAACAAATCCATATTATGGTTGGGGGCATCAACAACAAATCTGGTCTTTTAATCTTTTTATAAAATAGTTTTATCGTATTAAGGGTTTTTGTATCTAGTCTAATGATATATGGTGTTTTACAACATATATCATTAGACAACACACTTATTGCCAAAATAAATGGTTTTAAACACTTTGCTTAGGTGCCTAAGACTTTCACATAGCACTGTATACAAATATAATAGTCAAAATATAGATGCAGTATCTCACCAAGAACCAAAATGTAGATGTTCTTATTACAGAATTATTTTTAAGTAGTGAGCCGTGAGGAATAAAAGCCTTGACCTGCTTTGATTGGTTTCTGTAAAGTCTGGAAGGGATACGTGTCTCCATCTACTTTAATGTTTCAGTGCCTAAAATCTGCTGCTTGCTCATCCACTTTGTTTTGATTAAATTCCTGATTGTTTCTTTAGGACCAGCGTTAAAACGTAATAAAATGAAGTGCATTTGTACGCACCTAGCTGGAGCGTTACGCACAGACATCCTCAGAGAGCGTAGTCAGGGCGCAAATGAGTAGATCAAGAATGGGCAGCAAAATCAGATGCCCTTTTTCAGCGGGTAACTTTGACTCAACCACTCGAGAGCGGTGACCAGCAGCCAGTTCACGTGATGAATGACGACTGAATGGAGAATTTCAGCAGCATCCTGAACCGCGATCCCGGACCAGAGTTATTGCTTTTGGTCCACCCGTATTCCGATAGTCCCCGCCTCCTTCTCTAGGATTGGTTAGTCGGATCCCATGTAGGCTCGGCTGGTAGTTCATTCTCACTCAGTTTCTGAGTAGGAGGCGGAATTGGCCGGAATATGGGTGGGGAAAACAATGTGATCCCACCACCCTGTGCTAAATTGCCTTAATTTCTAACGGGCGTACAGAGGGGGCCATAAATCCAGAAGCGCGGCGCCTGAGAGAAGACCACTCACTCAGCTACCATGCCCGGAGTTCTCGTGAGCGCGCACTGGCACAGCAGAATGCTTCGAGCGAACTTATGCGCGCAATGAATCCTTTGAACGAGACTGGGACTGAGACACGCGCGGAGAATTATCTTTTCGCCGTCGGGACGTACAAACTTCTTGCCTTCGCCATCGGCACCATTGGCGTGCTGGGCTTCTGCAACAACGTCGTGGTTATCATACTTTACTACAAATTCAAGAGACTGCGAACGCCCACCAATCTGCTGCTGGTCAACATCAGCGTGAGTGACCTCCTGGTGTCCGTCATTGGGGTTAACTTCACCTTCGTCTCGTGCGTAAAGCGAGGATGGGTATGGGACGCCGCCACCTGCGTTTGGGATGGATTCAGCAACAGCTTATTCGGTCGGTGCTCTGTTTCACTCCTGCACGCTGAACAGGACAGTTCATGTGAGATGTTTTGTAAAGTTGGTCCATTTTTCTCCATCTCTCCATCCTCTACTCTGACCGCGCGCGTGCGTCTCTGGAACTTACTTTACAGGCGGTGGCCTCTCTGATTGGCACACTCTTTGTTGCACATAAAGAAATGGATGAATTATTCAGGTTCTTTAGCCCACCTGGCGCTGGTGTCATGTGCCTGCGCTACTTGAATGGCTCATCAATAGCGGTGCAACTTTTCTCGCTTTGGCTGCGATGCAGTTCAGTGTGTTTTAATGGAGATTCAGGGTAACAGGCTTCCGGGAAGTGCGTGATGCTCCTAGCAGTGAGTAAACCCCAAAACTCAATGCGCGCGTAACGCGATCTGGCACCGAAGGCGCGGAACAGCGTGAGAGTCCAGGGGCATGTACATTCATCCACAATAACAACTGACCACTGCTTTTCTCTCCTCAGACAGAGTATTATCTAGTAGTCTTATTATCTAGGGCTGATGGTTAAGTAAGGCAAGGATACGTTAGAGGTGAAGAAGAACTAAAAGAGAAACACTTTGGATTATGTTAAATTCTCAATAGCTTCATAATTATATTTCATTGTAACGTATGAATGTAGAAATAGTATTGCAAAATACATAGAATTGATGAACAGCACAGTGAATAGGACAGTCAACTACATATATGTGAGAAGGCGTGTGGGTGTGCATATATATATATATATATATATATATATATATATATATATATATACACATACATATAAAAGTGTAACTATATAACTATGCTATAAATATCAGTGATCAATACAAATATACATATTTACAGTTACAGATTTACAGTTAAGTACTACAATGAGAGAATGAGAGTTTATTTGTTTTATGAGGACAAAGCTCTGATTTCTTTGTTTCTTTACCTTTTAAAACACTCAAGGCCAATGGCTGTACTAATATAATTAAGAAATTTGCATTTGAAAATCCTCATGTGCTGCAGTGCTGTATATTCCAGAGGTCAGAGCTGATTTGACATGATGGCTTGTGACAGTAACACATACACTTTGCCATTTGACAAGGCTGCTGTTGAGTCTGTGACACAGTAACCCGCATCACTTGTTTTATGCATCATTTACAGAACTGCTGTACAAAAAGATGACAGGTTTGCTCTTACCTGGAGCAGTCGTCTCAGTTCCCCGCTGTGGGATGATTAAGGGGAGGATTGTGTTTGACTGGTATTTGAAGGAGACAGATGACAGCAACAGACCTAAAGAGCACTCAGTGAGGATAATGCAATAGCACAATAATGAGTTTCAGCATAATGTTCTTCACCATGTTATCACAGCCAGACTGGTATTATATTACCCAGCACCATAAACAGATATGACAGGGGATGTTCCAAACAGATGTTATAAAGGCCATTCAAATCAGCTGTTGTCAGTGCATGTTTGGGAGTATTTATGAAGATATCTCTCTGTTGAGGATGGATGGTATACTCAGTGCTGGTGCATGCTCTCCCTCATTTGCTCCTGCACGCACAAGGTCACACACGATCAGGATCATTTACCTGCTCAATAACCCGCTGCCAAACACAATTACACAGCTCATGGTGTTATTGCATATGTAGATTAAGCCTTGGCTGTATCAACAACACTTTAGCCATGCTGTGTGTGTGAAATAAGGTCTGATCTTTCTGCATCTGAATAATTTTGCTCACTGACTAAATTCTGCCAAGTCAAGACAAATAATGACGGAAGGTTGTGAATTACAGCTTTCATGTTTTATCATGTAGTTTACGTAATCAAACACCATATTTTGAAAGTCTAAAACAACTATACAAAATTATTTGGACATTTGTGCAGATTTGAAAACTAAGCTGAAAAATATGTTCATTTTAAAATCACTATTTCTGAGATGCCACAAGAACCAATTTACATATGTTGTTTATTAAATAGCGATGATGTGAAGATGATGAAGTCTCCGCTGACACGTCTTGCTTGTATGTTTATTACAAAGTAAAACAGTATCATATCAAGCACTATAAAGTACCTGAGAGGGGATCCGTGCCAATTCTAAAGTGTCCCCTCCCGTACAGTATAACCTACTGCTTATATAGAGTAATTGCTTTGGAAAAAGGAGACAGAACATATCGTCCCTCTTAGAATAGTCTCATTCATCTGGAACTAAAGTGGAAAGGAGACCTTAACCCCTCACTTAAACATTCCAAACCTGCAACATCAGATAACACCTGGAGCTTGAATACTACACATACAAACACCTATGCAGCCTACAGTTTAGCCCCGCCCATTCGTATTGAAGTTCTAAGCAGTGTTTCAGCTCTGAGTGTTTTTTGAATGAGGCTCCATACAAGACAACCAATCAGAACGGTGATCATTTATTTTTTTATTAATTTTGGATATAGCACATTTTTTTAAAAATACTTCTAGCTGATATTAAGGTAAAACACTTTTTATTTCTCTAATAAAGATGGTATTAATCATAATTTAGCACTGATATTTCCTGTATGTGTTAAGCCCACTCTCAACCGCATATAACATAGAAAAAAAAAAATTAAAAAGTGGTCTATGATGCATTTTGCAATGAAACCCTTCAAATACAGTCTTCTGTAGGGTAAAGAGAGGCGTAAAAATGATCATGAAAATGAATTATAACCATTTTTGGTACAAAAACATCACACAAACGTTATATGTGTAGGATATGGGCCCTTTAAAATGCATTTACTGTGTTTCAGATCATCACTTGAGCAGTTTCTTTGCAGACGTCTGGAGGTTTGCATGCAATATTAATCATATATAAAGAGCACTCAAGGTGCTTTACATGTTCAGGACATCAGTTAAATATTATAATATTATAATAATGAGAACATTGTTGCTCACCATGTATTTCACAATGCATTGTCTCCACATCTGTCTGCCTCTGTCACCGTTTCTTGTGCAGACGTGTGTAATTGGGTCAGTGTGTCTCTTACTCTTTAGATTGCTTTAGATGCCACAGGTATAGGCAGAAATGTGCTCTCACTCTGCTATTCAGGGCAAATGTCTGGCAATGGTAATTACCACCAGCTATGTGCATCAATTGATTTTCTGACAGCGCTGCTGGGTGGGAGACAACTCCCAGAGTCCCATGGTGGGAATAGTGAGACAGAGAGAGAGAGAGAGAGAGAGACAGACAGACAGCTGATAGAGACAGAGAGAGATGTCATTTGCCCTAGATTTTGGTATGTACTAACTATGTAAATGTGTGGCAGCTTTTAGCACTGAGTTATTATCTCCACTAGTCGTGGCACCAGTAAACATGACACCGCTTGATCCCTGTTGGAACTTCTGATCTTATTTCAAGCTTTGGAGAGATTTCAAGGACTTTTTATCAGACTGCATTAGGGAATTAAGAGTTTGGTTTCCATCCTGTATATCTGATAGGCTGCAGTTTTCTCACTGACGTCAACTTTTCCTTGTCTTCTCTGCCCCGGCTAGGTATTGTGTCCATCATGACACTCTCTGCCCTGGCATATGAACGCTACATTAGAGTGGTACATGCCAAGGTCATAGACTTCCCCTGGGCCTGGAGGGCCATCACCCACATCTGGCTTTACGCACTGGCCTGGACTGGTGCTCCTCTGCTGGGCTGGAACAGGTACACGCTAGAGGTCCACCAACTGGGCTGTTCCCTGGACTGGGCATCTAAAGACCCTAATGATGCATCCTTCATCCTGTTCTTCCTCCTTGGCTGCTTCTTCATCCCTGTGGGGGTCATGACCTACTGCTATGGGAATATTTTGTACACTGTACACATGGTGAGATAAAAAAGTTTTTGGATATTTTTTAATGATATTCTTGTGATAATGCGATCACAGTTGTGATTTCAAGTCTATGACAATCAGCATATCTATGCCCACTAATGCGTTCTTTCACAGCAACTGTTGCTAGGTTGGATAAGCGTTACAGAACAGATTTGTTTCCAATTTAAAATGCTATGGTATCAAGCTTGACTATGTTGTTGTTGCTAATTGAAACTTGGCACATTGGATACTACAATGACACACATGCTACCATGCTAATGGTTAATCAATTACTTGAAAATAAACCTACACTGATTTTATCTTAACATTGTGACCTGTTACAGATGTATAAAATATATAGAATTTAAAATTAATAAGGCAGTATAAATGGTAAGGAATTTTACCCAAGCACAGTGCAATTGCTCATTAGGCTCTATGGGATTCTGTCAAGCTTGTCCAACCTAGGGGTTGCTATTAAAGAATGCATTTGTGGGTGGAGCATAAACATAGGGCCATTGCTAGCAGTATAAGCAGTCACTTAGGGTCTCTGAGCCATCAGGGGGAATTTTCAAAAACGTGTTTAATTCTCTTTATCAAAAAGTGGAGTCCTGAGATTTTCTTACACAGTTTCTTTAACAAAATGAATAAAGTATTAGTTCTTGTACTATTCTTGTATTGAAAAGAACATGATTAGGGTGGGTAGACTGCAGAATGCCCAAGTCAGATGTTGCTTAGTGGCTAATTTTTCTTTTCCTCATCCTATCTTTTTCTTTTCGTTCTTGTGGCTCCAGATGCACATGTTTCTTTTTGAGACCTGATTGCTTTTTTCATTTGCTTTTTTTTCCCTCACTTGAGCATCTTAAACGAAATAATGGTAGAACAAGGGTGCCCAACCCTAGTCCTGCAGATCTACCACCCTGCAGAGTTTAGCCCCAACCCTAATCTAACACACCTGATCCTGGTAATCAAGACCTTCAAGGGAATCCAACTATTTGAGCCAGGTGTTTTGGATCTGCAGTACGGTAATAACCTACAAGTTATTAGGGGGCCCCCTGATGGCTCTGGGCCTCTATGCAGCTGCTTATGTCACTTATTAGGTAGAGCCAGCACTGCCACCAACTGTTAAAAAAATGGCCCTTTATGAATAGGTCAGTTGGTTGCACAGCTTGTGCTATTATTTTATAATTAACCATGCCTTTCTTTCTCTTAACACATGGTAAATCTAATTCACTTTGTTCATATAGGTGAAAATGGCTAAAACACTGCTTTATTTTTTTTGTAGCTAAAAGCATTGCTCTAGCATCGTCTGGAGGCGTATGGTATTAGCAATGATGTTCTACAAAACTAGTCTGTACTTTCTATCAGCATAGCCCCATGCATCCATCTGATTCTGATGTTATCAGCAACGTGGCTTATGTGGGAGATAAAAAAATGATGTTTTTCATTGCTCTAAATGGTTTAGATAAGCATAAGCAAGTGCACTCAGGAGAACTAAGCATCCTTTGTTTTAACCAGCCCTGATTTATAAATTATTCATGACTCATAGGAAGCAAGTCATTACTTCCGCTGAGCCTGAACACCCTACCAGCTTCAGTTAAGTCACTGGAGACCCCCTGTACATAGACACACACTCTCCCACACTGCTTCTCATGCACATAAATTCACATAAACATGCACAAACAACAGCACACTTGTGCTGAGAACACTCCTGGAGCACAACAATGTGATTCATCACTCCATTCACTGCTTCAGCTTTGATTTATGGCTGCAATTTCCCAAACTGTCAAAATAGCACTTTTAAAACAGCACTGACATTCATTCTCACTGTACAGTTTGTCTGCCTGATCCAAACGCACTTTCAAAATGTCTTGACAGCTTATAGAACAAGTCATAATTGTGTCAGAAACCAGATGGTGGCGGCGAGGATGGATTACCAGATGCAGGGTTAGGGGGATGTTTACAGCTTGTCTGGCTATTGAAGGAATAAATGAAAGGAGAAACTGTGCATATGCAACATGTGAACTTTATAGTCTCCAAAGAGTTAAAAAGACGCTAGTAGTCATGAAGTCCAAAGTATAATGATACTGCATCCATAATGATCTAAACGCAGCCTATTTATAAACATATCCCTGTGCTATGCAGTCAGTAATAATAGGTGCATCAGATAAGATGACTACTAGAGTCTGACCTACTCTTGACAATAATACCAAAACACCCCCTACTGGTGACCCACTTCTTGCTAGTAATTGTGCCCTCCGCAATACCTGCCAGTCTCAGCCATGCTTAGCCTGACACAGCAAATTCTTGCAGCTGACCTTGAGCAGCTGTGTCCTTAGTAAAGATGTGATCCAGACTGTAATTAGAGAATCAGGTGGAGAAAGACTGGGCTTAATTGAAAGAGGCTTCCTCAGGGGAGCACTTCCCTTGAACACACAGACTCTGAACAAAATACAGTTGAGGACATATTTAAATGAAGTTGCGGGTGGGATTCTTGGATTTAATTTGGCCTGTTTTCAAACCCTTTTTTGTATTAAGTGTGTTTTTCTCTTACTGTGGGAGCAGTGTCTGGCCCTATTAGATTTTATTGTGGAGAGTCAATATGGAATCTATTAGAAAAACAAGATCTACTGGATTTTTTTAAGCAGTTAATTGATGTACGTTATTTAACACGGTGATTTTGTGGTAATTTATTACAGTATTAGAAAACCTTTTTGACCTCTTTAATGACTGTCTTTTCTTGTATGACTCTAGCTGCGGTCCATTGAGGACCTGCAAACAGTGCAGATTATTAAGATCCTGCGTTATGAGAAGAAGGTGGCAGCCATGTTCCTGCTGATGATTTTCTGTTACCTGCTGTGCTGGACGCCCTACGCTGTGGTCTCCATGCTGGAGGCTTTTGGCAAGCAGAGCATGGTTTCCCCTACCGTCGCCATTATCCCCTCCTTCTTCGCCAAGTCCAGCACGGCCTACAACCCTGTTATATATGCCTTCATGAGCAGGAAGGTGAGTTTTGATTAAACTGAAGGGTGATTTAAGCAGAGCAGCACTTGTACTTCAGTTCAGTTTATTGTAATATGCATAGACACTTTTGCAGTAGGTGTCACAAAGCAGCTGTGTAAAAATACAGGTTCAGTGTAGTACAAGTTTATAAGGTACAAGGATGAAGGGTACAGCTTTTTTGTACAGTCCTTTATATTCTAGGTATTAGCCATGCACGTGTAAGGTACAAGCTCCAAATTACTAGGTAATTATATTGGCTAACACAATTGTGAGTGTAAAGACAGTGGAATTTAATTACACTGAAACGCCAAACATATTCTAGATGTTAATTGAGGAAGTATGAGGTACAAACTCCAAAGTACTATGTAACTGTTTTTTTGTGTAATGAGGATTCAGGTTCTAGCTATTAATCAGAAAAAAGGCATTGTAAAATGTTCATAAGTGGACATATCTCCTGAGTGAACTTCATTTGGAGTAGACAGTAGCAAGTACAAACATATTCAGACTAAATTTTAGTGTAATGCTGTGTGTTTAAGTGGCAAAGTAAACAGGAAAGGTAAGGACCCAAGAAAACCACTGTAGGAATCATCCTTTTCAGTCCTGATTCATGTCTAGGTAATAAAGAGGTAGGCCTACATATAAGCCTCTCATGTCTTGATCAAGCTTCTTTGTACTGTCTGTTTACCCCATATAACTACCTGGAATTCTACTTTCCTGCTTGTGGCATTACAGTGGAATTTAGCAAGAGTGTCTGGTTACATACTGTCATTTTACCCCAAATAATTACACAGCACTTTGGAGCTTGTACCTCACACTTACCCAGTAAATACTTAGAAGCTGTGGGGCACATTAGTGTAATTTGGTTATACTGTTTTGGAACTTGGGTGGCACAGTATGTATTGCTGCCGCAGCTGGGTTTGCCATAGTCTGGTTTCCTCCCATAGTCCAAAGACATGCAGTTAGGCCAATTGGACATGCTAAATTGCCCCTAGGTGTGTGTGAATATATGTGTCTGTGTGTCTGCCCTGCAATGGACTGGCAACTTGTCCAGGGTGTATCCTGCCTTCTGCCCAATAACTGCTGGGATAGGCTCCAGCGACCCAGAAGGATAAGTGGTTTAGAAAACATGAGTAAGTGTGTCTTGGAACTGACCATCATGTTACCTATAATATTTACCTAATACTTTGTAGTTTGTACATCACGCTCACCTAATTAATACACAGAACTTAGGGGACTGTAAAAGAAAGCATTACTGGACAAAGTACTTAAAAGAGTGTACTTGTAGACCCATTTGAGAAACACTTTAAAAATAAAAAGAACAAAATTTTCATTGGTGTAAAGTCTTTCCATTATTTTGAGACTCTTTGAGTTTTAAATAAAGTCTCATGTCATTTACAAAAATAGTTCCTTAGGGACCATCCATTGAAGTGTTATTTAGGAAACCAAAAATAATTCTTCTATGGCATCACTCCAAGAACCCTTTTTGGCACTTAAGAATGCATTTGGCTAAAACGTTGTGGTTATGCAGGCTATGGGCTAGCAATGTCCTTACAAGTGGTTCTTCAAGGGTTCTTCCGTAAAAACAAATGTTGTACATAACTGTGAATACTTGTATATTGCTTTCTATGTTATATATGTTTCTTTAAAGAAACAAAAAGGGTCCCACTATTGTCAAAAGTAGCATTTTTGGTATTATGGAACCCTTTCTGGAATGTTGGTAATTAACAAATCAAAAGTAGTATTTATTGAACAAAAAAAAGACAAAATGAGAAAAGATAATACCTAACTCAAATGTTCTGCCAAACCTTGTCTCTCTGTATGTGTCTTCTTGGTTAGTTTCGACGTTGCATGCTGCAGCTGCTGTGCTCTCGCCTGGCTCGCCTGCAGCGCAGCATCAAGGACCGTCCCCTGACCTGTGCTGACCGGCCCATTCGGCCCATTGTGATGTCACAGAGCCGTGATGAGCGGCCCAAGAAGCGAGTGACCTTCAACTCCTCCTCTATTGTCTTCATCATCACCAGCAATGACACGCACCCTCTGGACATCAGCACTAAATGCAGTGAGGTACCACAGGTCAATGTCATCCAAGTGCGCCCCATCTGACTCAGCCCAGGGACTGCATCGTGATGGTGATGAAACACTTTGCTCCTATACCCTTCCGTGCTGTGAAGAAATTCTTGTGAAGTTGAACAGAATTTCGATCTGATTGGTCCTTATGATGCGGAAAAACCTATGTTACCATGCTGATCCCTATTGCACAAAGTAGACCACTGATGTTGCAGCAATGGTTTTCCCTCTTTATTGTGGACATTGTATTAGTTGTTGTTGTAGTTAATGTTAATTACTTATTTAACTGCGCAAGCAGACTCTTTTTCTTTCAAATTTGTTAACTGGATTACTCATAAACTAAGCTAAAGCTAATATCATTAATTGAATACCCCTTCTCATTTTGCCTGAAAGGTAAAATAAGGTGGAAATGTATATTCATCAAAGCCCTCTTCTATTTTACAGAGGGACACATGGACCCTTTTCATGAGCACAGTGTTGTGGGCAAAACTAGAACCTCTGCTGGCCTCCAGTATTAAACAACTTGTATAACTGCACTTTAAAGTATTTTATTGAGAAGACTAGCTTTATGTAACTTTGACAGCCTTGAGTAACCTGCTACTTGTAATTCACACTTCCTATATTTGTCAATAACTGCAAATGTTCTCAATTTTCAGGTCTTGAAATCAGTATGCAATTCACAACTGTGCCTGTCTCCGATTAGCTATCACAGTTCCTGAGCTAAATGGCAGCAGTGGGTAATTCAAGGACTTTAACTGTGAACTGTTGAAAATGAAGGATAGCATTCCTTGTCTGGAACTGACAAGTTTGGCAAATGAGACTGAACAGACGTTTTCCACTAGTGATGCTTTGAATGGGTGCTTGGTTCGCAAATGCATGAAAAGGGTCCATCAGTCCTTCACAGGCACAACAGATGAGCAGAACTTGACTTTGGAATGTCGGGAAGGACTTAGTAAATGAAAAAAATCTACCTGTGTGATGGGATACTACCTTCTCAGTCGTGTACAGAACCAATAAAGAGACCTTCTATTTAGATACATAAGCTTCTTTTCACTTTCGCTTTGCTGGACCTCTCTCATCTCTGAGCTTGAGTCATGGGCAGTCACTGTGAAATGACCATTCACATGGTTTTAATGAAATGATGGCAGAAGGCAGGTGAGATAAATAAGGCCTATATTAGGTAGAACTCACACAAGATCTCCAACACTCCAGGCAGCTCCACTTTGAATAGCACTGATTGGGGCTACAGAGCAGCATTTCAGATAGAATGAACTTTGCTGACACAGAAGCACACCTCCACAGTGTTCTGGGGCTATGGGGTTAAGTACAGCTGTTGGTTGAGAATTAGGTTGATGAGAGATAATGTGTAAACAACATATGGTGCACACAATTTGCCTGGCCTTCAGGCTTTAATGGGACCCTGAAATGAAGCCTGATTTGAGACTGTGAAAAGCAATAATTCTGTATGGAGATGGACACAACCTGGGGAGACCAGACTGTTATACATACATACATACATCATCTAAACCGCTTATCTTTCTGGTTCACGGTGGGGTGCTGGAGCCTATCCCAGCTGTCATTGGGCAGAAGGCAGGATACAGCCTGGAAAGGTCGCCAGTCCATCGCAGGGCCAGACTGTTAAAATGTTCATAAAATTTGCTTGAATAAGTAAAACTTTTATAATAACGATGTGATCATATGTAGGTAGACGTTAGAGATTTAAGAATAGAGATTAGGAGAGAATAGGGCTGGTACAACTAAACAATATCAATTATTTAAAAAAATCGTTGGCCACTGTTGTGTAGTTTAGTTGGCTTGATGATGTTTGTGCTCCCCATTTACATCACCTTAGTACAGATGGCAGAGACCACAGTACAGGGTTATACGCACCTCAAGTAAAAGAGTATGGGAACACTTCACTAAACATCTACTAAAAATATGATTCCCTGTCAGATAAGTAAAATTGAGCTCACCTGGCACAACACATCAACAGAACAGACTACCAGACGCACTTCTTCTTTTCAGAGTAATCAAAGCCATCGTTAGTTGCAGCCCTGACAGGGATTTAAGAAATGTTAGTTGTTAAATGGCCTACTATAGTACAGAAAAGAGAAGGCTGCTAGGTTACATACAGCAGGATTGCACTAAGAAAAATTACATTTAATCTATAAAATCAGCAAGCTTGTCACACACGCACACATGAAGAACTCAGAAAAAAAACCTTTTATTGTTCAGTCAGAAATGACTGATGGGTAACAGCGTACATTCACAGCACGTTAGAAATACACCCACACAAACACATGAGTGTGCTTCCAGCTAGGCCTGAGCAGGCCTGTCTGACCTTACAATGAACTAGAATAACATTTCTCTAATTACTGCCAACATCTAATTATTCCGCTAAGAATTACTGATGCAGAGGGCTGGTCAATAAAATCGTCTGGCCTTTGTTCAATCTAAACCTTTTTAAACAGCATCATCATTTCCTGAATACAAATGCACCACTGACCCCATTCTCTGCCCAAACTGATTCGATTTAATTCAAGCTCAAGGGGAGTTATTGATCTTTCAAAATGTTTGGAGTATAAATTTGAACTCAGATGATGAAATAAAGCAAGAGATTACATAAGGACCAGGGGATCAGGGGAAAATTTGGCTTTACTTGCACTTTTTGACCCCAGATAACTGGGACTTGTAAAATATATTCCACTTTCATTGCACTTCTAGTTCTGGAGCCACTTGAGGGCAGGGACTTGGTTCCATAGCTGCTCCACAGTAATGTGGGGCTTTTTGGGACCATATTTGAGAAGTAAATAAGCCGCTCCCACTATAGACATTGTCCCAAAGATCCACAGGCCCCGAGTGATCACCTGCAAAGAACAAGGAACATCTTTAATACTGCAATGTTTTAGCCGAGTGACAGCTGTACCTAATAAATGACATAAGCAGCTGCTTAGGAACAGGTGGCTGCTGGAGGCCCTTTAACAACTTCTGGGTTACAACTAAACCATTATGTTGTCCAAGATGCTCAAGTGAGGGGAAAACGAAAAAAAATCTGCATCCAGATCCAAAAAAAGAAAAAGCGAAATAGAAAAGATAATAAAAGTCTTTTGGTTTGCTTTGGTGTTAACTTTATGTCATTCGTTTTGGCTTGTAGTTGGACAACAAGAAGTAGTTGATCTTGGGTCTGTTTAAAGAAGCAGGTTTTTCTTAGACAGGCTTTCTAAGTAAATTTTAAGTTCAATAAACCCAACAAATAACGACGTTAGCTTGTTTACTCGTTTTATTTGTTAACTTGTTTTACAACAGTGGTTAACAACGTTCTCTATTAATCCAGCTTTAGATACTCAGGTTGTGATTATTTCTCATGTGCATGCACACATAAAAGTGCAACATTTATAATAAACAGCTTATCAGATGAAACATGAGGAGGAGTCACCAAAGAAAGAAGAAGAAATGGTACTACTTAAATACGTAGAGAGTAAAACATTAATAACAGTAAAAAGGCAACGCTGTCGCAACTGCCACAGGGGTTAGATCAAATTATCCTTGAAGTTAGCTGGGTAAGCAAAAATTAGTGCATGGTGAAACAGACCCTAGGATTCAGCAGGCTGTGAAGGTTATCTGTGATTTAATTTATGACTAATTAGAACCCCAAATGAGCACCCAATTACCAGTAATAGGCAATTAGACAGTTATAAATTTACATAATTTAGATAGCCTGTGGTTGTCATTGTTGTTAGTCAGCCATTCATTTTACAGTACATCAGCTCCATCACCCAAAAGAATCTTGTTTAGGGCCCCCAAAAGACTAGAGTCAATCCTATCCTCATTGCTTCGAATCCTTAAAAATGAAAGTGAGGCCACAGAAGAAGCACTTTAGGTTCGCTAAAGAACATCTCATTTTTGGCATACAGATTTGAACAAAAATCTCAAAACCACTTGAAACCACTCGATTGAACAGTTCTTTAGAGCTGTGATTTTCAGCTCCAGTGCTCAGGACCTACTGTTCCCTGCACACCTGATCCAGCTCATAAAGTAATCATCAAGCTCTTCATGAGCTGCTGAATCAAGTGTTTCGGGGGCAGAAAATACCCGTAACTGTGCAGAGCAGCGTGTTCCCAGAGCATGAGTTTGAAACCACTGCTTTAGAGTACTAAAAGTGGTTCTTCTATGGCAGGGGTGTGGAACTGTGGTCCTGGAGGATAGAACTCCTCCACATCTTGGTCATTTTCCTGCTCAACCACACCTGAGTTAAGTGAACAGTTAATTTTATTATTTATTATTCTAATTCTAAAATAGTAACTTGTTTGTATGCTTTAGGTTTTATCATCAGTCTGATTTCCCACAGAATATCAGATAATACTATCATCAGCTATGTTTCCATCCACTTTCTGTGGAAACTGCATATGATAAAATGAAAATGCATAAAAAGAAAAGTGATTTTGTTTCCATCAAACTGACTTTTTGCAATCAAATGTCAAAAAAATGTTGCTGCCTGACTTTTAGTTTGTTGATAAAAGACAGTGGAGTTTGACATGTTTTCCTCTCTAATTTCATGTATGTCGCAACTTGTGTATCTTTTGCCAGCCTGACTTTACATAATCTAATGATAGACATTTTATTTTATTTCATTTTTCTCTCTAGTCTCCTCCTAAGTCAAGTAATCTGTCACATGACACTAAATATATAAACATTGAATATTTGAAACATTTCCAATATTAATTAAAAAATAACTTAGAACCTTAGACAAATCAAAAAAATTGTGAAAAAGGTTTGTGCTAGCTTGTGGCTCTTACGGTTAGTTGGCCAGGGTCTCTCACATAGCTACAACAATCACTGCCCTCAGAACCTAGCCCTGCCCTTCCATATGAAAGTCCTTGCATATAAACTGAGCATAACAAATGCTAATGTCTTTTTTTCTAAACTAAATAGAACATAGGCAGCTCAGATGCCTCAATATTACCAACAATTTCTGTTTCAATCAACAAACATTTTAAATCATTAAAACGTTTTCCGCAAAATATCTTTCAGATGGAAATGTAGCTACTGTGAATGACCACCACAGAACACAACAATTATGCAAATGAACTCTTAATGAAAAATCTGACTTTGGATGAAGCTTTGGATGAAGTTCTCTCATGCTAAACACTCTGAACACCTACTTCTCAGACTAAAAAAGCTCAGTAGAGTGAAACAGATATCTTTGAAAATGACACTGTCACACTAACAGAGTCATTCAAGGCAGGTGCTGCCAACCAATCTGAATACAATACCACACTGACCTTTTCTGCCACAAACTAAATGGGCTGATAAGTTGATGCTTAGTGAACAGTAACCTCTGTGTCCTACTCACAAAAGGTATTCGAGAACTCCACTGAGGCTTTACACCAGCGGCAAGGACAGCCTGCCAGGCAACGCTTAATGAGCTCAATAGCACACCTGCTCTAAGACAGACACTGACTGACACACACTTCTGATTATTTTTTACTTTGTTTTTACTTTGTTTACCTTGTTCTGCCATTGCCACTGGGTCACTGCTTCATGATAACGTGTTCTGGTGAAGGTGATCTAGGAGCAAATCATCAAAAAGTATGAATGGTGCACATTAACAAGACATTAACAAGGCATGGTAGAACCACAGAAACTTCCAAGGAAATTACCCAAAATATGGCTTACCATTGTGTACAATGGGATGATTGTTTTTGGCATGATAAAATGGAGTGTGTTGTCCAAGAATTTGCGGAACAGGAAGTATCTGGAATTTACATGTGCTCTCATCTAAGGCATAAGAGAACAATAAAAAGGAGTGTTTTACCATAGTATAATGATATCAGACATTTTAATTAATTCATTGGTAACTTTCAGAGTTGATTCAACCAAACATGCTAACCCAGCTAACAGTGAGTGGATTCCAACCCAATCCCCAACAAAATCGTTAAACCATGTCTTTATGCACCTCACTTTTCTGCACAAGGGCACAATCATGCTGGAACAGCTTTCCACAAGGTTGGAAGCATATAATTGCCTAAAACATTAATTAACATTACCCTTCACTGGAACTAAGGAGCTGAGCCCAACCCCGAAAAACAGACCCAGCTCATTATCCCTCCTCTATGAAACTTTACTTTTGCCACTGTGCATTCCAGAAGTACTGTTCTCCTGGCAACCAGCAAACCCAGATTTATACTGAAGTGAAACAGTGAAGTGTGATTCGTCACTCCAGATAACACATTTACATTGCTCCAAAGTCCAGCAACAGCATGCTTTACACCATCCAACGCACGGCATTGCACATAGTGATCGTAGGTTTGTGTGCCGCTCCTCAGCCATGGAAGCCCATTTCATGAAGCTCCTGACGCATAGTTCTTATGCTGATGTTGCTTTCAGAGCAGTTTTAAACTCTATAGTGTGCTTCAGCACCCGGCTACCCTGAGTTTGTGTGGTCTATCGCTTTGTGGCTGAGCTGTTGTTGCTCCAAAATGCTTCCATTTCACAATAATAGCACTTACAGCTGACCAGGGCAGATCTAGCAGGGCAGTAATTTCACAAATTGAACTGCTGAATTATGACAGTGCCACATTTAAAGTCACCAAGCTCTTCAGTATGACCCATTCTACTGCCAATGTTTGTCTATGGAGACAGCATGGCTATATGCTTGATTTTACACACCTGTTAGTAATGGGTGTTGCTGAAGCACCTTAACTCTATAATTAGGAGGGGTGTCTACATACTTTTTCCATGTAGTGTAGCTGATATGCTTTTCATAAGTGTCGGTTAGTGTGAATTCCTTCATATTTGCACTCATGATACTGCGTTGAAGCTTTATATGGCACAAAGTTCCTCAGACCTGTAAGCCAAACTGTCCCTTTAACCATAATCTTCATTACTAAACTGTTAGCATTCTTGTCCTGCCTGTAAGTCTGAGAATATTCTTAGCACCTTTGCAGTTCAGCTCACATGTGTGTATAATGAGTGTGTATAAATATATGTAAAATTGTCTCAAAAGCTCATTTAGCTTGAAATCCTCTCATTCATTCCTCAACTCTCTTGTCAGTTCTTCACTCTACCCACTTAATATTGCACTGTCTGGGACAGACCTCTACCTACTGAACTATAGCACAATAGAGATTAATTGCAGGGCACATTTATGGAGGCCCTACTGAAGAAAGAGCTTAATGAGTGGAGGAGGCAGATATTCACTGAACTTTTTACCTTGCAGATAGTTGTATCAAACCTTGAAAATTCACTCAAATATAGAATATGTACTTGCTGTGCCATAGAAAGCATCAAGTCAAAGAAGAAAGCATTTAATGTTAAATATTTTGTGAATAACTGTACATTCAATATATTTTCCAGACTGTATTGGCAAGTTGGAAGAAACTGTTTCACCTCAATGTAGTTGTACATAGCTAATTCAGCCATGGCCTGATCATCAGGCGCACGGACTCTCGTGTACTCGGGAAGCACAACAGCTGAAAAAAAGCACAAATAAAACAAATGTTTGTAATTCTCTGAAAAACAACACCCTTGACAATTCTTTTCTTAGCTACAGCACAAGACTTGGCTGTAAGTGATAATTATTCAGCAAATGTCACATTTAATCAAAACGTAGCTTAAAGGAAAGCATTCTGGCAACCTGGTTAACATGGAAAATTATATAAGTTTTGACATTAAATGAGAATTTTAAATGAAATTAGAATCTGTGTGTTATATTACACTGCAGGCTTAAAGTGACACATTGGAAAATGTTAATGGTGGTGGATGATTAAAAATGCATGGCATTACTCAAGAGTGCTTGTGAAACTGAAACTGACGTACCAAAGTCTTCATTAAACTGATCCATGATCTCATTGAAAACGAGGCAGTCCTCAAAGCCCTAAGACACAAAGGTGGATAATGAAAGCACGGATGAGAAGGTTACAGATTACAGGGCTCCATTACAGACTGCTGATTACATCCATGTGGATACATTTCAGTTTTCTGTACATTTCCCCTTTTTCCTATTATGTTGAGGAGGAGCTTACTGCTTAATTCTTGCTGTACAGTGCTGTTTTTCTCTTGGTACATTAACCTTATTTTTTCAAAAATACTTCATTTAGAAGAGTGAAGTTTGCTGCTTCACATGTATGTATAGGAGTATTGTTCATGATTTCTGACAGAAACATACTGAAAATTTAGAAACATTGAGATCATATAGGACAATTATAAATGTGAAAACTTGTTATTTTTTAAGGCTTTTTAAATTTCTTTTAAAGTGAAGTTAAAAGATTGACATTTGTTTTAAGTTTCATTTTTAAATAAACAACCTGATTAAAAAAAAGGCTGTCCCATATTTTCATGTTACTACCAAAACATGTCGGCTGTGTGTGAAACATAACAAACGCTGCCCATTCAGATAGTATGAGGCAAGAAGGCACACAATCATGTCTGAATGGAATGCCTGCTGCCTGCTGAGGTTCCTCCATTCGGCCGTTTTTTGAAGGCAGTGTAGGTGTATCCTTCGCTGCCTTACATATCCCATAATCCTTTGTGTCAGCACCAATGTTAGGAAAAAATAGAAAACACCAGCACTGGCACAGTGGAGGTAAGAGATTGCTTTCTTGTACATATACAATACTTTTTATTTTAATTATTAAAAGTTCAGCATGCTAACCTTCTTAAAAGATTTTTTTGGGCTAAAAGATGCTAAAGTCTAATGCCAACAGCTAGCAGTCACCTGTCGTTATCTTCACAACGATGTGACACATCGATGCCTTCAAAGTATGTCTCAAACACAATTCAGTTGCAGATTTAAAAAACCTGCCTTCTGAGGCACTGACTTATAAGACAGCACAGGCGGAATCACAAGTGATTAATAGAGACAGAAATAAGCTAAATATATACCAAATCATCTTTTATAGGGTACTTTCTTTGGCAAGTGTCTGTCCCAAATCCTAACCTCAAAATTTCACCCTGTGAAATCAATCCTTTTTTTTACTTTTTTGTATTTTTTCAGTATTTTTTATATTTTAATAACATTAAAAAAATGTAGATTTATCATGAGTTCACAAAACACTTTCATATCAGTACTAAAACACAAAGAGTTTTAGTCCATTATTTAGGCCTTATTTTAGCCCCACCCCTGCATTTTAGAGCAGGAAGTGAGGCTGCATCCCTGTCCCTCATGGCCACATGGTGAGCTGTTAGATCTCATCTTATTTTGAAGTAAATGAGTCCCAAAGTCTGAAAATCAGTGTGTAACACTAAGAATTGTCACTACTATTTTCCACAGTTGAGTATTTTTTTGTGTGTTAATGATAAATATTATGATTTAATATGTGTACAACTGTTCAAAGCTGTGTTTGTTAGTCATGAACTCGCTAGTGTTTTAGAGTCATGCTCAAAATTAGCTAAAATTGTCAATACCAAAATACACACACACACACACACACACAGACACACACATTTTTAAGCCACTTATTCGTCGCGGGAGGAGCTGGAGCCTAACCCAGCGGTCATTGGGTGGAAGACAACCACCGAAATAGTCACTACCAAACATTTGGTAAAGTTTCAGTAGTGTTATGATTGTTTTGTTATTGACAAAATGTAATGTTCAATCATCTGTTTTAATAAAATAAACATGATTAAGGTACATGGTCATTCAAAGCAAAAGCATTTTAGTCCAAGCCAGTCCAAAGTGTGTTTTCAGCTCTGAATTTGAAACAATTCAATAGAATGATCCATATATTATGTTGAGGAGTAGAAGAATTACACTGTTTCAACCATCTGCCGTTTACCTCCTCTCCTCTTTACGCTTATTTTCTCTTCTACTCACCGCGTTCATGCCCTGACCATAGAATGGAACCATAGCGTGAGCAGCATCACCCATTAGGACACACCTGTCCAGCACGTGATAAGGGGAGCATGTGACCCACACCAATGCCTGGGCAGGCAGCCTGAAAAAATCTCTGATCAGACCATCCCTAAAACACAAACCACAGTCGTTAGAACCTTGACCAGAAGAAATGATGATCTGAAAAATATATGCTTATTGAGCTTCACAGTTCATTTAAACAATTACATTTCATAACAGAAATAAATAATGTCACAATAGATACAAAGATGTCATTAACCTGGCTGTGATAGGACACTATTTGTTGTGCGATGACTCACTGCTCAGTTGTGTGTGCTGTGTGTAATATTTATTAAGGGAAGTCACAAGAGATACTGTTTCCATCATTAAGGCAAATGTAACTAAATAAAGAAATACAATAGCTTTCAAAGTCAAAGCCTCTTTAGCTTTACTGTGATAATCTAATCAGTCCATTTACTTTGACAGTAATGCATTCTGCTTTTTTCAACAGTAAGCCTAAAATAATCAGATGATGCGTAAGAAACAGAATAAATTCTCCATATTTGTGACAACAGATCTATAAAATACAAGGAGTAATTTCATCCTGGATCCAACGAAGAGAAATGTTATGGCTTCAAAAACAAGTAGCTGATATTATAACAACAGGCAGAATCAAAACACAGTATTACATGAGAAACTGAAAAACTCTTGTACTGAACTATGGGACATCAAACATAACAGCACATTCAGCTATTTTTTAGAGCTTGAGTTGAATGAACTTTCATTCCTGTGAGGACTGAAATGAGTTGCACAGCTCAACAGTTTCTTCCATATCTACCTGTCACTTGCAGCATTTTGTCCTGTACAAATTAAAAACTCATAAGTGAGGGCAATGTATCTGCTAGCCTGCAATTTCACACTTCACAGACAGCAGGCTCAGCCCTGTCGCCCTGAAGACTCACAAGAGGAACACAAGAGAGGGAGCAGAAGTAAAGAGAGAGAGAACAGTCCTTACACTCCTATGAGTGGGATGGAATCAGGGAAGTTTTTCTGAAAGAAGCCAAGCAACTCATCGCCAGTGGTGATCTTCTCAAACTCCTCAAAGGGCATGAATAGCGTGCAGGTGAACGTCTTATCCTTGAAAATGCACAACAAATGGATTTTCAGAGCCATAAATTGTCATGAAGGCTTCACATACAGTGCATGTGGGATGTCATAGGTCAGTTCAAGGTCAGGGGTGTCCACTCCTGCTCCTGGAGACTCACTCTAGAGTTTAGTTTTGGTTAGGGATGGGATGGTTAGAAAAACTTCCAATCAAGATCTCAGTTGCTAAAATGATCTTGTTTTTTGGGTATTGTTAAAGGGCCTATATCATACATTTTTCGTGTATAACTACTTTTAACATTTGTGTGGTTTTATGTACCAAAAACATTCATAATTAAATTTTCCATGTTCACTTTCCATCATCTCTTTATGGAATCAAACAGGCTGTTTTTGTTACTGTGCCTTTAGGACTGATACATACAAATGACCTCAGTTCTGATCAGCCACCTGAATTGTGCCACATTCATTAAAAAGGCCAGGCTAAAACACTCCTTAACTTCAGTGCAAATGGGCAGGACAAAACTGCTGTGGGCTGAATAGGTGGTTATATGCAAATTCGTTGTTCTTTGTGGCATCACAAAAAACAACTATTTCAAAATAGGCTGTTTATTCAGCTTAGTATCCATACAAATGGATTATTTGGAATAGGAAGTGAACAGTATATTTTTAAACTGTAACAATGTTTACATATCACAAGCAGTTGCTATGGTGTTCCAGTTGGTTTCTAGGGTGTTGCTAAGCTGTTGATATGGCATTCCAGGTAGTTGCTAGTGGGTTACTAGGTGGTTCCTATAGTATTTCTGGTGGTTGCTAGAGCATAGCTATGGTGTTGCTGTAGTATTTCTGGTTGTTAGGGTAATGCTAGGTGGTTTTTAGGTTGTTGCTATGTCATTGCTATGGTATTGATAGGTTATTGCTGTGGTATTTTAGGTGTTTGCTAGGGTGTGCTCAGTGGTTACTAAGGTATCCAAGGTGGTGGCTAGGGTACTGTTGGGTGCATGCTATGGTATACTAGGTTGCTAGGGTACTGCTAAGTAGTTGTTATGGTATTGGAAGTCATTGCTATGGTGTTTTTCAGTGGTTTCTAAGTGTTATTCAGTGGTATCGCTCATGGTTGCTATGGGGTTTCTGTGGTGTTCTAGGTAGTTGGTAGGGTATTTCTAGGTAGTTGCCATGGAATCTCAGGTGGTTGCTAGGGTGTTGCTATGTGGTATCTGTGGTGGTTGCTAGCAAGCATGTATTTCAATGAACTCTGTGTGAAAACTGCACTCTTCAGATATAGGCTCTACAATCCTGCAAAGTTTGGTGGTTCTAGCTTGAAAACTGCAGGAGGAGAAAGTGTTTAAATTTTCAGCTTAGAATAATTTTAAGTTTAAAACAAAGAATAGTAAATTGGCTTCATCAAGCTAACATCAAAAATCTGAAAAATATCACGAGCACTGCTACTGTTTTCTGTTCAGATTATAACTGTATGTATGTAAACATGTATTGTATTGGTGCATGTTTTATTTTATTTGAAATGTAAAGATGTTACACCTTTACACTGTAAACTTAAATTGTGTACTAGAGGTGACTTTAGGAGTAGATAAAAACTTCCATAAATCTTCTTTTACAACACAGAAAAGATATTTGGCACTTTCATTGTCTAAAGACCATTCTGGGCTGCTTATTATATCATCTTGCCATTACACTTGAGGCAAAAGTTGCCTAAAGTTGGCTGAAGACGCAGCATGAATTAGGATGCATACTGAATCACTTGCTTTACTTCAGGAACAGAAATCTGACAAATCTGTGGAAGACTTTTCAAAATGTATTTTTCACTTACCAAATTGGGCAGAGCAATCATCATGAATGTGTTCCTGGGCCAGATGTGCAGAAAATTGGGCTCCATTGCAAACTGGGCGCAAAGACAGAGATAAAGTTACATTCATACAGAATACTCACCAGTTTTGGAATCTACATTCAGTCAGTTAAATAACAAGCACTTTTTTCCACAAACAAATACATAACATTATAAAAGTAGGTACCTTTATTGAGTGAAACACAGACATAATAGACTGGCATACAAGTGATTTAGGAGCTCTCAATCCATTTCCAGCACTTACATCACCATTCCTAGGGGGCATAGTGAGCTCAAGGTATCCATGAGGAATATAGGTCTGGCTGTAACTGAAGCGACTGCGGCGTAAGAACTGCTTCCTGGTGGCAGAGAAGGCACCGTCACAGCCAACAATGAGATCTGCCTGGAGGTCCTTTTCAGTTCCATCAGGCCTACGAGCAACCAGATAACAAATATCTAAAAGCTCAAACATACATGAATAACAGTGTATATACATTAACTTTCACAAGTTTAGGGACATCTAGCTTTTGCAATAACTTATTAAATAGAAAGCTGTTTAGATCTTTGCAGAAACCCGAAAAACTGACAGAACAATGAATAAACAGTGTTAACTTGGGAATAAATTCATACACCATGCATTTTATCTCCTTTTTGTGATGTCAGCATTCAAATCTTCCAGGTGTTTAATTCACTTTTATATATGTCTGCTTTTAACAATAATTTAAAAAAATAAATAAATAAAAAAATAAAATAAAAATAAAAATCTGTTCTTTATATCAAAGAAGACACTTTGATGAACATTAAGCCAAGTGCTGCAGAATATTCTCATATGTTAACAAAACATTTGAAGATATTTTTTCTTAGATACAGTAAAAATTAAACTAATCAGAAAAGATAAGTGTCCCCAAATTTTTACAGGCAGTGTAAATATTAAGGAACAATACATCTTGGACGGAAGTCCTTCATCAGCTATGCAAGCAAAATGTGCAAAAGGTGTACAAGGTAAATCAGTTCATATTCAGATATTCACACTATTTCTCAGAAATACTGGTTCAATTCATGGCATTGCTACATGCACTAAAGATTTGCTGCATGCATTGAAGAACGCAAGCTACATATTTTTTTTCATTCTGTCCCGGAGTACAAATTGCAGATGTGTCAGTAAAATATGAAAATTCTTGTTTGACCATCTTAATTGTAAATGTACAGACTCACATGCCCACTTATGTATCATTGCAAAACCTTTAGTCCCTACTCAGAGCTACTAAAAAGACATTTACAGTGAAAATAACAACTGACCAATAAACACTATTTACTGAGAAAATTCCTCTGGTGCCTTCCTCCACTAATGCTACAAACACACTAAAAACAGTAAAGACAGAAAGCAACAAGTGAAGTAAACAAGGAAGGTATATCTGTGGTACTGCTGCATGACCACCCCTGTTAATTTATGAACATAGTCACTAATAAACCAGCACAGTTCATATATTGCTTTAGGGGGTGTTTTTCTCCAGCTGGAGACTTCCATAGCTGATGGAGTTTCCTCTAAAACATCCTGTTTCTCTAAAATACATAGGGTGATTCAAAAAGATTCATCCGATTCCACAGTGCTATATTTTTACAACCATAAGGCACCTAGGAACCAATCACATACCAGTTGAGGGAGAGGGGGGAGAGGGGGGTCATAGAGTTCCTGTCACCAGAAGATGGCTCCCTTCAGTGTATGAGGAGATAGCAGAAAGCGTTTTGCGTTCTCCACTTCAATAAGAGTGAATCCGCCATAAATGTGCAAAAGTGATATTCGTCTGCAGTGAACTTCCAACAGCTCAGAGCATTCTTCGTTGGTTCCACAACACTGGATGATCTCAGAAATCGCACTGAAAGAGCCGTGAGTACAGTGACAGCTGAAATGCTCAACCGAGTATGGGATGAATTTGACTATTGCGTTGATGTTGTTTGTATAGCTGGAGGAGCTCATATTGAGGAGGCCATATTGAGCACTTGTAAAATTACATAGTAAACTTTATGCTCACTTAAACCATTTACAATTTACTGCACTGCTCTCTAATGATTTACAAGTGCAATAAATCGATTTGAAATCGGATGAATCTTTTTGAATCACCTTGTACTTTGTATCACACCAGAGGTTTCACAACCTCTGCATTTATTAAGTACAAGTGTAAATGAATGTAAATGTAAAAAAAGAGAACAGGCTGTTTACCCATGAAAGGTCATAGCCCCAGTTTCTGGGCTCCAGTCAAGCAGTTTATGGTTGAAGTTCAGTTTTGTGTTTGGATATGCCTCAGCCACTGCAGTGATAAGACAAATTAAACAGAGAGAGCTGTGAAAAACACTGAACATAACTGAACTGAAGTCAGACCACAGCAGACCACATCACTCACAACACCGTGTCTGTAATTCAGGATATAAAAATGTTTTACAGACATTTTAATTAACAATCCTGTTTTAAAGATAAAAGAACCCAAGGATAGTTACCCAACAGAAATTTAACCAACCCATTTTTCAATTCAAGCTTTACAGCATAATTTGCCATAGATCAGATAATAAACAGAATAAATAGGTTTGGCTGATGAATGCGTGAATACCTGAAAGGAGCTCCTTATTAAGGTTGGCTCTGTCTACAGAGAGGATATACTGAAAGGAGAAGAAATGAGATGTTGACGCTTAACAGAACAAAGACAGCCCACATCTTCTTTCAACACATTTATGTTCAGAATGGAGAAGGTTATTTGCTCATGTATGCCAAGTAGATGAGGCCTGTAATGAACGAATTTCAATGACAGGCAAATGATATCCTAGTCCGTTTAGCGAAATGTTAAAATGGTGTAAATTGCAGCCTGTTATTTTCAAGCTTTCACTGCCAAGGTTTTGATTCAAATGTGTTTAAACGGGCCCATATTTTAGATGTTTTTCTATTTCATTTTTCTCCCTGAAGTCCACTTATGACATCTGTGTGATTTTATGTAGCAAAAAGTCATGATTCATTTTTAAGTGACCATTTTCTGTCTACGCCTGTTTTTCCTTCCATGCCCTAAAGACTGATATACGTAAATGTTCTCTGTTCTGATTGGCTGCTCTGTACTGTGCCTTATTCAAAAAGCAACCTGGCTGAAACACTCCTTTTAAACTGCTCTAGGCTTAATAAGTGGATGTATGTAAATGAGTTGATATTTGTGACATTACAAAAACAAGTAATTAAAATCAGGCTGTTTATGCAGCTTAGTTTTCATATGTAGACTGTATGGGCTTAGGAGTGAAGACTGGGCCCTTTAATTGTTGCATATATAAAATATATTTCATTACATTCTTTTAAATCAGTGGTTACCAGCTCTATCCACAGGGCTCCCCAGACGGCCCACATATTTGCTCCAACCTAACACACAGCACAAAGGAATGAAGGAAAAATGCGGACTGTCTGGGGGGTTCCTGAGGAATGAGTTGGGAACCACTGTTGTAAATGACTTACTTTGGCAATGCCTGAGTTCATGTAATTCATTTTATTCATGTGGAAATGATGAATCAGGTAAATTGAATGCATCATTTTTCCAGCAAAACTGGAATACAAATTAACCAATATGGACTACAATACACCTACGTGTCCCTTTCATATCTGAACATCTTTCACCAATATTCTTGAGCAATTCAACTGACTTTATATGTTGCATCTTGTAGTGCAGTAGCCTGAAAATCTAAAACTGCTGGTGTGAAGCCCCAGAGATCTGACATTAAATAACCCAGGAGCTTTTCCACCTAAAAACGTTGTTTATGGCGAGAGTAAAAGAGGTTCACTGTTGCACACTGGGAGTTCATGCAGGGACTGGCCTTCATACATGGAGTGAACTTTTAATCCAGCACTTAAGCACTTGCATGTAAAAGCACTCTCTAGCATTGAGAGAAGGCTGTTACCAGCTGGACAGTCAGAATTTCTCCCTTTCTCTGTTTCTCGATCAGTCTCGCTCTTCTCTCTGCCAGCCTCTCTGTCTCTCTTTTGTTAGTAAGAGGATTAATAACAAGCACTAATAAGCTGACGATTTAAATGCGGCTGCACTTCTTGGGAAATTGTTCAGGATCCAGAATAGTCCCATCTGTTGTGCTCTCTCTGTAATTATACTCAGCCCCATCTTATTAACCATAAGTGATCCTGCTAGTGAACGGATGCAAATCGAGGCATTTGAAGTATGAAGCCTTTTTATGTTTAGAGTAGGTGTATGTGCACAGGAACAAAGGCTGTAAGCTGTAGGCTGTAAATGCAGGTATAGTACAAACCACTTGATGCCTAACTTGGATAAATAACTTATGCACACTGAAAAAAGAGCTTTGAATTTACATGATTAAAATGTGTCAATGAATATAAAACGTGTTACATCAACACAATTCTTGCCATATTACGTAAAATATGAAATTGTGTCAATGTAATATTTTATTCTTTTATTGAAACATTTAAATCATGTAAATTCAAATCACCATTTTTCAGTGTGTTGGCCTACAACAAAAGATTGATTTATATGTAAAAATATTCCCCTTGGTGGCACCAACAGTTTCCCTGTTAGCTGTGAACCACTACAATAGAAATCCAGAGGGCAATCAAACTTAGTAATGGATTTGCATGGCCCTCATGAGAAAGGTAAAAGCAGTTCAAATGTTCAGAGCAAAGCGCTCTGAATGGTCCTGGTCGGCCCTCCCTGTGAAAATGATTAACAAAAAATGAAACAAGGCAGTTCTATTGATTCACTGGAGTGAGTTAAGGCCACATGCTCTTAATGTCATCTACCTGCAATAATTGGTGTCTGATCACGTATGCATATAAGTAATGTCTAAATCTGTAGTGAAGAACCCATAGGTAAGCATCATTTATCCTTAAATATGCCAATGTCAAACCTTGTAAGACAAACAAATATCATTTACTTTGGCAGCAGTTACATGTCAGGCTACCAAGTTTTATAAAATATTTATAATTAATTTCTTGGTTTAGATTCATACTGCATACACATGTAAAATTACAAAGTGAAAGAAATTAGACCAGTACAAGACGTATAGTCTTGTACAAGTATATGACATCACATCATGAAATTACATATCAATGGCCCTTATTCATCAACGTTGCATACGGTAAAATCTGATCTTAATATAAGTGCGCACAAATTTCATTGACATTTTAGGTATTCATTAATTTCATCTTTGGAGTATCTATACGATTAAACTCATGTCTTGTAGAAGTATGTGTAAATTTGAGTATAATAGATTAACGACCTAAAAAATGTTGGATATGATTTTAACTAACCAAAACTATTATCAATATAATATATAATGCTAATGATAAGAATGAAAAAATTAGAATAACACAAATAAACTCCGCCTACAAGCACAGCCAATGGCTCATGAGCCGATTAATGCTGTCCTTTTACTGGCTCCTTACTGACACACCTGCACAAATTAGGGTACACTTCATGTAAATGACAGGTAAATGACATACTGGTAGGCTGGGAGTCAGTTTAAAGTGGATTAGTTTTATCTGTCTCTTTAAAGTGTTAAATGTTCATTGTGTTTTCAAATTTAAATAGCCCCCAAATTTGGTAATTATAGACTGATTTTATATCCATACAAAGTGGTTTTCAAATTAATAGAATTTTATATATTTCACATTACCTGACCCTTTTTTCCATACGGTATGGGTGAACGTTTCCCGTTCAGACTGTGGATCATACGAGCATGCATTGGGATGCCCATAGACACAATCTGCATAGAACAGACACACCAGCAAGACATAAAACTCAAAGTAATAATGCACACATTTAAACAAACTACATAAACTGGTAGGACACTGACAGAATAACACAGCTGAAAGCAGTAATTACAAGTATGGTCTCCTTTATTCTACCTTTCTATGGCCTCTCACAGCATAGCGCCACAAAATATATTTATTTTTTTCACTTGAATGTTGCATCCACAAAGTTTTGGTTACATTTTGATTATTATTAATGCCAATTATTTACAGTGGTTTCACAGTAAACATGGTGGAGAATGGGTGAGATTGTATTTTTAACGAACATCTTAAAAACTAAGGAGATGATTGTGGATTTTTCTAAGTTGCAACCCTTAAAAACTGACACAGATATCAATGCATGAGCTGTAGAGAGAATGAGTACTTACAAGTACTTGAGTACAATTTTTGATGAGAAGCTAAAATTTGGGAGAATACTGAAGCAATTCTTAAAAAATGCCAGCAACTCATTTACTTTTAGGAAGTTAAAATCTTTTTCTGAGAATTCATCTCTTTTGCGTACGTTCTATAGCTCTTTTATTGAGCATGGTTTCATTTTCTCTAATTGTAAACATTTTTTTTTTTAAATATCGTTTACAGAGCCTGATATCTATGTGCTCCAAAATAACTGATCCTCCATTGAGGTCACTAGCTTTATTACACTCTCAGAAAAAAAGGTATGAAACTGCTACTGGGGCAGTACACATCTTGTTACTGGGGTGGTTTCCTCAAGGGTACATCTCAGTACATTTGTCGGGAACATAGTTGTACCATAATCCATTGAAATTATATTTTCTAATTTGTATTGACTCCACACACCCCGTCTTGTCTCCAGCCTATTTATTTTATTGTTCTGTTTGAAAACATTAGGTTAAACGTATTGAGGGTACATTTACCTTGTTTGTACCTTGATGAGCAAAAAAATGTACCTGCACAGTAGCTTTATTTCTAACAGTGGACATAAACAACAGACTCTAAAAAAGACCATCCTATCATTAATGGCCCTTAACATGTCCTCCACTCTGCCTTTGAGTTGTTGCCTCTGTGACACTGTTATAGCTACCTTAGATGTCAGTCTGTATGACAGACAGTGTTATTTGTGCCTGAGGCTATCAAGCTGATCAATGATCATTCACAGTAAATTATGTGCTTACTATGTATTTTATTTATTTATCTTGTCTAAAGAAGATGTCTGTCTTTAGTTGTCAATAGATGTCTCTATGTTGTATGTTTTTGTGTCATATGTTTATACGCCCAGTTATGAATTGTCCCTCAAGGACCAATAATGTTTATTCAATTAAATTCAATTCCAATTCAATTCCAGTAGGAATTTCTAAAGGAATGTTTATCATAAATTCATATCATAAAATGTTTATCATAAATATTCAGAAAATTCACTTTAGTGTGTTTTCTATACCTGAAGTCAAAAAAGGTGGGAAAAGAAGATTAGTATTTAGCTATCATTTAGGTACTTTCATTAAACTGAGTTGAAATTACAGCCACTCAATCTGCCATTAAAACTTCTCAGATCTTTCCTCATCTCAACTAAGGCATTTTTAGTTCAACTTGAGTTCAGATCTAGTACCCTAGAGGAGAGTAATATAAAAGCCTGGTTTTCCCATGCTGAAAGGTCATGTAAGTGTATAAAGGCCTAGTGACGCAGGTACAGCTGAGGCATGCATAACGGCCTCTGTGTGCCAAATGTAAGCTGCAAAAAATCGGAGCAATCGCTGACCTCACAGACTAAAGCAAAGCAAAACTATTTGACTGGAAGATATACAAAACGAAAAAGCAGTACATCAGTGTGACTTCTTCCCAAGAATCTCTGTTCCTAAAGCCTGACTGCACACTGTCTGTCCAGTGTCTCTCTTAGACTCAATGGAAATCTGCAAACTGCTTATGTATGTCACACTGAGCATTCATTGGTTGCATGTGATGGGGTAAGATGCTGAACATACCTTCTCTTCAATCCCAATATGTTTTAAAGCCTGGCGCCCCCTATGGGAGAGGGCTAGGTTGATGCTCCTGCCCTTCACTACTTTGGCACAGCGAATATCTAACAGGTTATAAAAGTCAGTCAGTCAATCCAATGCCATAAGCATCTCTGCAGTTCTTGCTCCATATCATACTACTATAATGCTGTTATTAATCAAAATTCTGATTATTAATGAAAGTCTTTAAACTTTTTAGCCCTTTTGATAGAGTAGGTTTTAATCCTTACCTTCTCGAGATTCAAAAACTGCAACATCAAAACCTCTCTTTGCAAAGAAGGAAGCATTCAAGGCACCAACCTAAATTAAGATGGAGGAAAATTCCACCAAATGTTTAATACATGCTTGAAAAGACATTAAAATTCTAATAAATGTAAGATTTTGATAACAATTTAGAACAATGGTTCTCAATGCTTCCTCACAGCCCCTTGGACAGTCCACATTTTTGCTCTTTCCCGATGTGGACTATCTAGGGGGCCCTGAGAAATAGTTTGAGAACCACTGGTGTAGACAATTTGCAACTATAGTTAAACTTCTCTTATGCTAAAAAAACTGCTTTCCATTATACACAACCACTTCCAGTCCTTTGTAGATGAAAAGTAAAAAATGAATGCCAATTCAATTTTTCAGGCTAATGGACATGATAAAGGGAAAAAACCCTGCAGATCTTTTCCAGCATAACATAACTGAGAAATGACGTCAATCATTTACCAGGTTTCAAAATCATTTTATAAGCTATTGACCCGCTAGACCACTTTCTTTGATGCAGTATGTATTAACAACACAATTAACCTCTTTTAAAGGAGGTTGATTATATCAACATAAGTGGTGTCCATTAAGATATTAAAGTACCCTTCACCATCTCAAGGACTAGAAGATCATGTATAACTAGGGTACTGTGTTTGAATGACTCACTGTATTATCAGATGCAAACTTGTGTCATAAAGATATCAATCCATGTGATCTTACCAAACCGCCTCCCACTATAGCAACTCTTTTCTTGTTGTTCTTCTTAGTTGAGTGATCCATGCTAGCACCGTCCTTATTTGTCCGTAATAGCTCAGAAATTAGCTCGGTGTATCAGTGGATGTGGACAACCTGCTGAGATACGTTTCACCGGGTTACCAAAATGGCGAACAAGCATGAAAAAAAGTTGAAAAAAAAAAAAAACTACTCCTCCTCTGTCAGTTCTATGTCCCTATACAACCATTCATATGTAAGTATAGTTTGAGGAGGAGCACGTTAAATAGCAAAGGTTCAAAGCCCTGCAGCGCACAGGAGTCAAAGATCAATCCGCTGTGTTGGATTTTTTCACTGAGGAGAAGAGGATTTTATCTTTAGATTTAGATTAGTATTTAACCTGAACAGCCATTTCTCGTCTCAATAATATTTTAACCAAAGAAATAATTAGTTGGACTACACTCTTAAAAAGATGGTTCTTTAGCAAAGGAAATGGTTCTATATAACCATCTATATAACCATAAACATTCAAAGAACCTTTTGCATGGTGAAAGGGTTCTTTGCATCATGAAATAGTTCTTCAGATTGATGAAGAATGTGCTGTACATAGTTTTATATATAGATATGTTATAATGTCAAGCTTGTAACAATAGAAGAACCCTTTTGGGTGCTATTTAGAACACTTTTCAAAAAGGTTATATATAGAACCATCTGTAGCACATTCATGCACATTTTCCATCAATCTGAAGAACCCTTGAACAAGTACCATTTTTAAGAGTGTACTCTTAGAAATGAGCTCTCACGGTGCTGTTTGGTTCCCCTCAGTGGCATCACTTGGTTTTACCTCTTGACCAAACCTGCCTGTTGACTAACTACCCAAATAATATATTTTAATTAATCAACCAAGAAAAAATCTTTTTTTCTTCTTTAATTTTACAGTAGAAAATAAAAGTTAATAAAAAAGGCAATTGGTGCAAAAGTGATTCCGATTCATATAGATTGAGCATATGAAGTTAAACCTTTACTGCATAGTAATAAATAAAACTACAGAGGTAAACCTAAAAAAACGTTAAAACGTATTCATCAATATATATAAGACCTGCACCAGGGGACCCCCACCAAGACCTCTGCCATAATTTGAATCCTGCAGATTCCCTTTAATGAGGACTTTTGTTTTATGAATAATAAACGTCAGTTCCATCAGGGGCCAATCTGAATAACAGCACCTGCAACAGCATCATTACATTAAGAAGCAGGGGCTTGATAATGTCAAATGCCTACTGACAAGCTTCTCACCACTAGAACTAACCCTTTGGGTTATGAAGGTTAATCATAGGAAAAATTACAGTAGATTCTGACAAAAACGCTGTAATAATGTGCCATTTCGAAAAGAAGAGGCTTCCAAAATCACATTTAGCAAGTTTAATAGTTATATTTACTTTGGCTGGACAGTATCTTAAATTTGGCCAAGATGATCTAAACACTAACAACTGTATAAAATCACATTATCTTCCTAAATAGGACTCACAATCATGAGGACTCACAAGGTGCTGAAAAGTAGCTGCAGTATTGTACATCCCACAAAGAATCACTTTGTACTGCAGGAAGTTGTTGGGGATAATGAAAGCAGACAGCACCTTAGGTCATGCAGTCAGTGGCACCTGCCAGAACTCTTTAAGATCAAATTTGCTCACAGATGTGTCAGATCTAACTCTATACACAATCATCATCTTGACTCAAAGGGTAAAAATCTTACCTTATTTATGGCAAGAGCTTATTTTTAGTAGCCTAACTTTTTCTAGCTGTTTTCATTAATAACATCTCTATACACTAAAGCTAGACTCAGCAAGATCATGAGTAAGTGATCATGAGTAATAGTTAGTTCTTCAGTAGTTCTCCTTTCTGGAAGCTGACAATATGCGTCCTCTTGAATGGCTTATTATGACTGTCTGACTACTTGTGCCAAATGTGTCACCAAAGCGCATAGAGTTCACTTTTTACCATTGAAAACACCAGATTTGTATGGCCCTACTTATCAGCTTAATTTTGTATGTCATGAAAAAAACTTGAACCTATCATGGTTCAGTATACTAAAATATGCTAATGACAGGATTACAATGAGGACAGGAAACTTATGCTGCCTTCTTACAACTCGGAAGTCATAAGTACAAAGTTGTGCTCAAATTATTTTGGTCAGAAACAAGACAGAAAGTGCTGGGAATAATGTTTTTTGTTTACTTCTGTTTTTCTGTTGTCAAAGAGAGTACGGTTGTGTTACTGCAACAAAATAAAGAGCAGAGGATGCAGATTAGATGGTTTTATCCAGTTAGAAGCATCGCATAGCTGTTTTCTGTGTGTGGATGAGAGTAAGGCACTAAAGATTTTAGCCTGTAGTGTTCATGTGTGGCTGCTGAATAAAAATGCACACAGTTTACGATACAACTATCTGCAGCTGCCGTTGCTTTTCTTATTGACGTTTCCCCACTAAGTAATTGCAACATTGTGGTGGCATACATCTGTCATCATCTTGTAAATTTGATATTTCTGCCTCAACTTGAAGGCATTATAAATACAGAATATGCCTGTACTGGCTAACTTAGTGTTTGAGATATTTGGACAGTGTAGCTATGCAGTTAGCTAGAACAGATGATCGATGATGGTATTTAACATTGCTGCAAAATTTGTGTTCCAAATAAACTGTCAAATAAGTTGTGTAGGTCTGTTAACCTTCTGGCTAAGCTACTGCTGTACTGTCCTAGGAGCCATTTTTCAGCAAACTGATACTAGAGGACAAAGCTTCTACTGCTCCACTACACTGTTCTCATTAACACTAGGGGGCTAGCATTAGCTTAGCAAGCAGTGTAATCGCTTCACACATACCACAAGACAAAGAGAGTCAAAGAGAGTCAAACCGCTAGGAGTCGATTCTTTGACTTTGTCGACTTCATGTTATTTCAGACATATCTTTGTGTCATCTAGCTAGTGTTTTTTTTATTCTTGGTGATCATAGTACAATCTATGACAGTTCTAAAATGCAAATAACTACATTTAGACTGGTTTACCTTTTGCTAAGCATTTGTATCTGTGGCTCTGGAGTGGCAGAAATCGAGAGTTGGAGCCGACTCCAGAGCTGTGCATCATTAACTGATATTCCACTGATAATACTAATTTGCTACCTTTTTATATGCTTGTGACAAAGGTCTACTTTGTGCATCCAATAGCCTTTTAATTGTAACAGTCATCTGGGTCATCACAGATTGGAATCAGTTTGCACCAATCAGAATTAGATGCGTCTCTGAGAGAGAGAGAGAGAGAGAGAGAGAGAGAGAGATTCACTGTGAAAAATCTGTAGTACAAGAAAATTTCAAGTAAAAAAGTCCTCAGTAACTTTTAAATTTTAGTGTAGATGTAGGTGTAGATGTAGGTGTCACCCTAACAAAATATGGTTCTTCAAGGGTATACAGCAACAAAAAGGGTTCTTCCATGGTTACAAGCTTGACATTTTTGCTAGATACGACCATTTTTAAACAGGTTCTATACAGAACCATACACAACACATTCTCCACCAGTCTGAAGAACCATGTTACCATGAAAAGAACCCTGAAAAGAAGCACTAAGTGGTTCTATATAAAACTCATGATGGTTCTGAATAGAACCATTCTGTTTACTGAAGAACCTTGTGTACCTAATGAATCAGACAGTGAGTGTAAGTATGTGACATGCAGGAGTAAAATCGACCAGATTTTTTTCACCCGAGCTGCCTGTTCACACCCAACACACACACACATCACTGAAACCGTTTGCCCATGTGAAGTCAGGTCTCGTGCAACAGCCGGTTTTGAAACTCCGAATCGGCTCAGGGATTCGCTTCGTTCTGCTCGAACAGTTCGAATGAGTCGGTGTGAGCGACTCCCCTCACCTACTGAACCCAACACCAAGCAGACCTCGCAGTCTCACCGCCAGGCTGCACTCAGCTTCCACTGGAGGCCAAGCGCTTGGACGCTCACCCGCGTACTGAGAGCAAATCTCCACCAGAAACACAGATTAAAAAAGAAGGAAAAGGGAAAGTAACGCAGGAAAAAATCAAACGGTGTGACAGACCAGCTGAACCACTCTAACTAACTGGGATTCGGTCGGTTCGCAGCGCGGTGCACTCACCCTGAGCAGATAAACGACCCAGCCACACTCTCACTGAGTCTGCCTTCCACAAAGAAAAAGAGGAAAAAGTACCGAGAAAATCCCGGAAGAACAGACAATTGTTATATTATGTTATGACCAGCTCGTAGGAGACCACAGCTCACAAAGGGGAACACACAAAGCTCACCTCCCCAGGTGTGATGATTAACCTGAGCCCATCCCCACCTCCAGCCCCCGCACCACCGCTGCAGGGAATGAAAGACAGGGGCGCAGTGGATCGTATAGACATAGCTGAGAGGGGAATTCCACCACTTTTTAAATTTCTGCATGGGAGCGTAGCTAGAACGTTTACAATAGGGTGGCCAGGTAAGACAGATTTTATTGGGATGGAACACAGCTTAGAAAAAAATATATAATAATTTAATAGCGTTACTCTATGAAAATGACATGAATCGATGCGTTTTTTTCTAAATCTGTCCATCACTCACACATAAACAATTACATCAACACAACTATTGCCAAAAGTAACTGAAAGACAAAACTGTGTTGATGTAACACATTTTAGCCATTCATGAGGGAATGATGTATTTGAATTAGGTAAATTAAATGCATCACTTTTTTCAGTGCACAATGTTAACTTTAAGAAAATCGTTTCATACAGACAGGCCATAGAAGGTTGCAGTCAGTACAGGTTATACATAAGTCTACTACCCAGACTACACTGTGTAAGGTCGCCTGGAACATGCACGTATTTTGCTGTTAAAAAAAAAAAATAAAAAATTAGTTAGAATGATACGCGGTTATAGCTGACTTATTTTAACAGTTAACTGATTGAATGTCCTACTTTATAGCTCACAGAGCAGCACTGCTGAAGGAATTCAGTGCACATTCACTCACCTGTTTGCTGAGCAGATTAGCCTCTCATAGCAAGATAAGCTAACTCTTAAATGCAGCATCATCAGACTGATTGGAACCCCGATGGCAGATTTTCATCAAAAAAGCATAAATAATGTTTTACTGATGATGGCTGACTGTCTCACTTTCCATAACTGGGGTGGCCAAAAGAGTGGCCATGCTTCATTCCAAGGTGGCCTCTGGTCATCCTTGGCTGCACCTCTGTTTCTGCATAAACAGGCATTCAGAGTGGTATATAACCGTTTTATTTGCTCTTCAAAACCACCAGTGAACCTACATCTCTTCTTACTTTTTGTGTGTAATCATCAAACAATGTCTTAGGCGTCAGACAGTTCATTCAAAACCATTTCATGTAGTAACTTTCTTTGTAGGAGCTTTTAGTGGCATCAAACTCTTTGGTTGTCTGGTTTCTATCATCACAACCGTGACCAATTCTGTTT